AAAAGCACATATTTATCTGACAACTTACATAATAGAACTCATAACTTCCAACATAACGAAATATTCTGTCAACAGAAAAGAGAGGACTTAGATTTAGGCTCATCCATATTACTAGTACTTGGTAATTTGTGCATGAAACATTTAAAAATAATTTCTCTAAGGCCCAGGATTTGTCTGAGATATGTTATAATCCCTTATGTCAATGGTATCTTAGAAAATATTCAAACGATTTTAAAGCAGCATAAAATTAGAACAGCCTCATAATTCAAAACACTATATAATATGTATTAGTGCAATATAATCAAGAGCAAACAAATACCATTTATAACATCCTTTGTGGACTCCAATAAATTGTAGGAATAAAATCTAATGAAATTACAAATTCAGGACAATGGTAGATGTTCAGTGCTCTGCAATACCATAATAGCTTCTTATTTCAGAAAAGCTCACATTGTTATGTAGACTGATACTAAGATAATGGGATAAACCTCATATGCACACATACACATAGTTTAAAAGATACTTTCTACATTTATAACATAACACCCTCATTCAATCTAGTATAAAAGTGAAACAGTCTGGATACATCTCTTTTAAACCATCCAAATAGTTGAATAAGTCCAAAATGGGATGAGAGCACAAACAAGTGAATATCACACCTATCTAACAATAGTCTATAGTTTAGTAGAAACAAGCTTTGAATAGGAAACAATTTTAAGAGAACTAATTTCATTTTGCAGAACATGCTAAAAATTGGACAAAATTGATAAAGGCAGAAATGTGTTGTTATTTTTTTGGTCAGGTATTTGAAGGTACAATTCCTCTTCCCCTAAGTTGATTTCTGGGAATCCATCTTCTCATCTACTTACATCACTTAATCTTTCTCCTTGGTTATAACTAACAATGTTTTCACAAATTCATCCACTACAAGTACCACATAACAGTCATCCATAACAGTTCATATGGTGCTGGCCAGTATATATTGGATGAAATGAACCACTTACTTTTGTCAAATGGCACAGAATAATAATTACTTGAACAACTGTTAGTTCCTAGAGAAACGAGAATCTGAATAGTCACAGGCTGGATAACATTGAAAATTTCTTAAGTTCTTAAAGCAAAGTGCTCCAGTGACTTAGAATTGAAATATATATTCAACATTTATTCGTATTTGTTTTTGTAAAAAATACCTAAGTAAAAATTATTGCTGATTATAATAAATCCTGTCAAGAATGGCAAACCAATAATGTGTGTTAAACTTTTGCTGTAGCTTGTACAATTTGAAATTCGGAATTCAAATTAGCTATATCTAGCTCTGAAATACTGATAGCTTTCTTTGTTTAGTTGCTGTCAACAACCATGTGGCTCAGTGTTCTGAATGTCCTTGATGCAACACAGAGTATGCGTCAACTTGCCCAGAATTGCTCACTTTTCACAGGACTTGCTTCCCATGTGTCAGGAGGAACTTTACACAAGCTATGCTTTCTCACTATAATTCAGATTTTCTTGTTAACAATCATGCTGCTAACTTCTCTCATTATGAATTCTGAAATCATTGTTAACTAATACTACAAGTATTTAGCAACATCAGAAATTTCATAACGTATTTGGAGACCTTAGTCATATAGTCTGCCTCTCGCTCGCAGGGAGATTATGTGACTGTATTGCCAGTCTTTATTTGGGCTTTCAATTTCTTATTTTCTGCTGGAATTCCTGATATGTTCTGTCAATGCTGAAACAACTACCATTTTCTCCTCATAAAAAAAATCAAGCTTTTAGTAGGCCTAATCACCTTCATTCTCTGAAGAGCAGGATATGTCAGTATTTTCTAATGTAGAAGAAGCTTCTTCTGTTTTAATTTCTAAGGTATGAGCTGTTTTTAATCTTGAACTATTTCCTGTTATGCCTATGGGTGCTGATTTCATGTTGGCAACTCAGTTCTTGAATCTTAATACTTTCAAACTTTTTCTACTTTTCAAATCATTCTTTACATATTTAGAATTTAGTTAAATGTTTAATAATTTTATAATAGGGTCATCTTCCTCAGCTCTTTTTACTTTTTTTTGAATGATATTGAAAGAGCTTCTACCCTGAAAATGTTTGTCTTTGCAGGATTTCATCCATGCAAATCTCCCTTTGAAGAGAAGCATGCTAGTAGGAAGTGATTAGAAATTTAACATTACATTTCTGTGGTTATTCCTTTTGAGATGACCAACAAGTAATTGGCCAAAAGTAGATGTAAGATAGGTGGGTTTTCTCAACCCAGTCAATAACTCTCTTCTGTTCCAGAAGGATTTCCCATCTGTCTGGAGTGTTTGGGGGTCATCTCAGATGTATGGTTTATCTGTAGGACCCTTGACTTTGTGGTGCCTGGGTTTGGCACATCCTTCAGTCTGATCTTAATGTCTTTTCCTCTTCATTACAGTTCCTTTGTTTATAAGTATTGGATCATGAAGCCTCAAATCTAATTCAAAAAGGAGCAGTTAAAATCATTTATGACACTTCTCTTTATTTTACTCCAATCTCCTTGTGGTTCCAAAGATATCAGGAGAGTAGGAACCTGTTTCAGACATGGTTCATCTCATTTTTTCCTCATCTTAATTTAAAATGAAAATCATGAAGTTGTTTTGAAAGTTCATTGTAACATTCATTAGATGATGCTGATGGATATAAAGAATGCTTATCTTCAGTTTGTTTGTTAAAGGGTTCCTACCCTTGCTACCCCACTACAAACAGTTTTTCAGTGACTCCAAATTATCTTCAATTTTGGCTCAATCAGAAGTTTATCACTGCTGTTTCTCCCATTTGTTCTACCTCATACAATATCCACCTGTTCAAATGCCTATCTTAATATGGGCTTGGTCAATTTGACTGACCACATAACCTCTTCGTACTTATTCAAACTCTTCATAGATTTTAATATAGTGTGTATATCTTCACGAAATTTGACAGTTTTTCAGTAAACATTATAAGTCTTTCACTAACAAAAAATCGTATTTTTTAGAGAAGTATTTTTAATAAACTAAAAAAAAAGATTTCTTCTGGAAAAAATCGAGTATTTGTTTTGAATAGTCTGTGTGCAAAGTGATTTTCATGTTAAGATTAAAAATACTTTTCTTCATCTGAAATATCTCAAATTTAATTTGTGTAATATCTAAAACCTCCTAAATACATTTCAAATGTTTGTTTTTAGTAAAAATTTCTATTGTATCTGTTATTTTCTCTACCCTAACTCTCTACAACTGCCTAGGGGCCCGGGCGAATGAAACCTGGTTATGCCATAAAGCCCGCAAAGCATCATTAGGCTATATCTTCATTTAATGATAAAAACCATAGTTTTTGGCTTTTCTTTGCATATAGATGCTTGATACATTAAGAACGACTGAAATAATAATTTGAGTAATAATTAATATGTACTTGTTACTTTATAGATTTAATAGATATTTGTTGTTACTTTATTGACATTTTTACGCTTATACTGTGAGGTAAAATTGGCTGCTGCTATGATTTTGTCTGGTTTATGAGCTCATTGCTGTTCTAATTTAGGATCTTCTTTTTAATAAATTCTTGAAAATGTTAAAAGAGAGAGAGAAAGGGGGCCCGGCGAGGATGTTTGCCTTGGGGCCTGTGCTGGCTCTCAACATTCCTATATACAAAAGTACAAAAAAGAAGTTGAGCAGAAAGTAGAAAGACCTCCAACAAAAAAAAAGTTTAATATGATGTTGGGCCAAACTAGTTTTGATTAGAGATGAAGAATATTACACACCAATCATCAGTTAGAACCACTACTAATTATTTCATAAATGTTGAAGAAGAAAAGCAGTCTTGAAGTGTTGTTTCAAGAATACCCATAAGTAGCTCAGTGATATTTCTGTAATGTCAGATGATTGAACAGATTAAGTTTTGTAATTGAAGGCTTTCTTAAGCTCAGTAAATCAGTCTGCAACAGTAAGTATTGCACTATCAGCCTGAAAGGAACAATTACCAGTAGGACAAAAGTACTGCTTTGTGAGGGCTAAACCGGTATATCTACATGATTTTGTAGTGAATAGCTGTTATTTTGCCCATAACAACCATGATTAAATTAAGTTACTAAGCAAAATTTAGTCACCCCTAACACTTGGGACTAAGCAATTGAGAGGGGAAATGATGAATGTTAAATTATTTAAACAGCAACAAACAGAAATAAAACAGTTATTATTTATTTTTGCACTCATTGTTATTTTCACCCCTACCCCCAGGATTAGAATTCCAAAGAAGTTATAGGGGTTGGAATTTAGAATATATACACAGTATTCAGGCTATAAGAGATTAAAAAGTTTTAGAATTTATTGTGGTCACTATATTAAATGGTTTTATTGAAAAAGGAATTTACCTAGGTATACCTGTATGATGGAGAAATTATATGTGCATCATATGCTTGCTTTAGATATGAGCAATACACAAAGTGCAAAAATGCATAGCCTCACTTGCATTAAGTTATGATAAACAGACAATTATCTGTGTACAAAGAGGATATCAACCACTGTTTTTTATAGATACCACATATGAAATAATCAAATGTATCACAAGTAATAAATAATTCCTCTGTTTCATTTAGGGTCCTTTTGTGCTTGTATTTAGTTTCTTTTGGGTGTTTAAGTGAACCCTTTAAAGAGTTGGAAAAATTCATTGACATAAGTTGTCTGTCTTACTTACTTCAAGAAAAAAAAATCCTTATTAATGTGTAAATATAGGTGATAACTTATTAAGATATTGTAACAAAAAACTGCAAACTGTTACCTTACTATAGAGCTTGTTAAGATAGTGTATTGTTATCACAGTGAATATTCTAGAGTTTGAAATAATAAGGGTTATAGCACCAATAATGGTAATAATATTTTTAGAATAAATGTTTTGGTTCACAGCACATGTTGTTGCTATAATTACTTTAAAACTATTTGTATAAATTATACTCATTTATTCTTCCAACTCACTTTTTGTTGTTGTTTTTTCTCTAGGAAGAAGAGGATCCTTATAGAGAAGACTTCACTTTTGCTCCACTTGATTTGGACTTACAGCCATACACACAAAAAGATAATCTTCATGGTATTGGATACAAAGCATTAAACAGAGTTCCTGTTTTATCTTACCACATAGACCTTCTCCAGCCCACTCCCACAGTTGATGTATTGAATAAAGAAAAAAAGAAGCTATCCATTTCAGGACAGGTAAGAATACTCATTGAACATTGCTATCAGTTTTGTATTTCTCATGTCTCTAGACACAATCATTTTGATTGAAAGAATGAAAAAATTAAGTTTTAGTGCATAACCCTTTACATCTGGGTCTGGCTCTTTTGTGTTTTTCCCGACCTTTTATAATGTTATTTTACACATATAATCCAAAACTTTATTATCACTGTATGCCAGTGAACTTGGTATGAAAACATAATTTATAGCTGAAATATGTATATTATCTTTATCTAAATTTTAACTTGAATTCAAAAAGAAATATTTAGAAAATTCTTGATCTTCATTTTTCTGTGTCACGTAACATGTCTGAGCTCCAGTTTCTCCCTTTCAGAATATTTTAACATCATAAATAGGCTGCTGAAGTTTCCAACCAATTAGAAACACAAACTGTACATAATTATAACCAATAGTCTAAAATATGAACCTCCTTCCTTTTTCATTTGTTGAGATGTTTAGGTTTCCTGCTGTAAATTGCTAGTCAACAGAATTGCTTGGTTTGTAGTGATCATGTTTTGCTGCTCTGATTACTAAAGGAATTTTTAAACCTATTTATAGCTTAGTTAAAAAGCCAAGTAAATTACAGTAGTTTTGGGAGTTTCTGTTCTAGTTGCTTGTATATTTTTTGTCATAAAATCATTATATGAAAGTTACTTGAAATCTTTTTTTTGGACACCCAAATTATTTGTGAGACTCAACATGGCTTATGGAAAAATGTAAATTTTTTCTTGAGTGCAAATGATCTAACGTATGCAGTAAGTATTAGAGATTTATGTTATGTATATATTTTCTAACAAAAATATAAAAATTATAAAATTCTCAATTTATCTTAACAAACCTTCAGTAAAATATAACATTTAACATTTAATGAGCTAAAGCACATGTGAAACATGACACTCAAGTGGGAATGGAGTACACCAATAAATCCATAAAATTAAAAGGAAATAGACATGAAAAAAATTAAAACAGTTGAAACTATTAAGATAAATCATTTGAAACATTCTTATCAAAACTGCAGGCAGTGTAGAGGAAAAAAATATTATTCATTTTATTTTCATATATTTCAGCCCCCATTGGCACAGCAGTATGTCTGCAGACTTATAACGCTAGAAACCGGGTTTTGATACCCGTGGTGGGCAGAGCACAGATAGCCCATTGTGTAGCTTTGTGTATAATTCCAAACAAACAAACATATATTTCAATTTTTCATTTCACTTTATATTGATAGTGTTACTACAATTAGTGTTAGGGTAGATGAAATATAAAGTTTTGCTGAAAATAGTTTTGATATTCATTTAGGATGTCTAGAAGTTATACAAGTGAATCATGATAACTGTAAAAAAGTATTTTTATTCTTAGCATGAAAAATCACCTTTCACTCAGACTGACTCAGTAATGGCTTTGAAAACTCCCAGCAAATCTTTAGTAAACATACTTTATCAACAACAGATATGTAATGTTTGACATAACATTTAAAGACAACAAAGGACTTTTTGGCTCAACTAGGTTGTCACATCCACTAAACTAAACTATGTATATATTGAAAACCAGCCCTTGTCATTAAAATATTCAACAAACCTTTCCTTTAAATCACTTTTACTTTCTATTTCCCCTACATCTGAAGGCAACTCATTTAAAAAGCTAACTACCAATTTAGAAAAATAAAACTATCTTAGCTGAAGATGATTCCTATTCTGTCAAAATTTACATTTGTGTCTTCTAGTTCTACAATCCACATCAATAAGTACAAAATATAAGATGATGCATCGACACTATTAATTTCTCTAACAACCTTAATCGTATACACCTCAAACAGATCTACCTTTAATTCTTCTTTTCTCAAGAGGAAACAATTTCAGAGATCTTAACTTGCCTTTGTATGACAACATTGCCATCCCAGATATTGTCTTAGTATTCCTTCATTGAACCCTTTCCAACAATTGAGTGTCCTTTCTAAGGTAAGGAGTCCAACAGTGATCACAATACTCCAAATGCAGCCTAATCAGTGACCTATACAATGAAATTATAATCAACTGTACCATCATTTGTGTCACTGATGTAAATCAGATAGAACATAGGTCCTAAAACTGAGCCCTGAGGTACCTCACTTGTGGCATTAACTTTAATGCAACTGGTAAGTTAAAGTGTGCATGTCACAACCTTTTGCAGAGTTACATTCAAAATTTAATTAAACTATATTTTTATCAAGATATATGAATAAACATAGTTAATAAATGAGGTTTTGATATTACATAAGTTTTGAGTTCTTAATTTTATAAGGAAATGTTTTTAATAATCCTCTATCTCCCCTAGTATGAGAATTATGACATTTGTTCTCTAGGTCTTCTCTCTTTAATTTATTTATCACCCATACTGAAGTAGGGAATTTAATGTAAGTTATTCATTATGATACAGATAATGCTAAGGCAAAGTTTAATTTTTATAGTCTTCAATCTTACTTGTTTATGGAGTCATAAACTAGAAAATCACTCCCTCTTGCCACAACCACCTGTCATGTCCTATCTTTCATAAATTACCAATAATTCTCTCTGTCGTTTTAATCTACTGAGTGATGTATGTGTTGTGCTGTTTTCAGTACAGAGTTTTGTCAGATTTTTTTTTCAGTGTGAAAGTATATCTCATGGTGTTCAGATTGAGCAGTTAAGGGAGTTATTTTATGCCCCTCTTGTCTTAGCTAGAAAGCCAGTTAAATTATACTAGTTATAGGACATTTTTTGCTTTGTGTGTGTTATTATTCTGTATTCTTAGATGCATTATTTAAGTAAAAGATTTTGGGGTACTAATACTTTTCAAAAAAAAGATTAGGCTTAAACTTCATTGGTAACCAACAGCAAAAAAACAAACAAGAAATCAAATGTATATATTTTATTTATTGTTATAAAAATAACTGAAATGTAAAAATTAGAAATTTATTAGGTTAGGTACGATTAGGTAAGCTAATGAAAATAATAATAATTATTCACAAGATATGCTTGCAAGCAGCTCGTGCATTACATTATTCAATAAGGTAACATGAGCCACGTGTTTACTAAGTGATTTACAACTTGTGTGGGGAGATTATTAGTTATACACAGTTCAAATGACAATAAAACAATAGAATTATATATAAATACTGATACCATATGTTTATGAACAAATCTTTAGTAAAAATACTTACTTAATTAAAAAAATTGTTTTTCTGTGTGTGTACAAAAGATTTGTAATGCTTTCTTAAAGCTTGCCAAATTTTGTGAAAATACACAAAACATATTAAACATTATAGTGTGGAAACTGATTATCATGTTGTTGATGACATAGACTGAAACCATATGGAACGAGTTAATATACTTTCTTCCATCCAGAATGAACCAACTTGTACCTCACATCTACAAAGATAATTTAACAAGCCCTTTATGTGGCACTTTATCAAATGCTTTTTGAAAATGCAGATACACAAAATACACACCCTACCCTCATCTACATAAGCATTAATCTATTCAAAAAATGTCAAAAGAATCACAAAGTTTCACCCTAGTGAAACCACTTTGACTGTCCAACAGAATTTTAACTTTTATCATACTTTCAAAAATGCTTCCCTCCACTGATGTAAGACTAATTAACCTGTAATTACCAAGACAATTGTTATAACCTTCATTGAAAAGAGAAATAACATTAGCCAACTTCCAGTCCTCTGACACCTGCCTGCTATTCAAGAACTTGCAAAAAAAAAGTAGTAGCAAGTGGCTCATGTATCCAATCTTTAACCTCCTTCAAACCTTTAGGAGAAATATCTCCAACAAAAGCTGTATTGTTCTTTAAACTTCTCAGTTTTTTATTTGACAAGCTCAGAATTAATGCGAAAATCTTGTTTAATCAAGAAATTGTTCAAGGCAAGGAATAATGCTTAAGTTTTCATTAGTAAATATTCCCAAGTGGGTCAGCAGTAAGTTCATGGACTTCCACTGCCAAATTCGATGGTTCAATTTTCTGTAGTGGCTGTAGGGCAAATAGCCCAGATGTAGATTGCAATCAGTCTTTAGCTGTTTAGGAAACAATTGTAATTTTCTGTTACAACTTGCAGTTATTCTAGAAAAAAAGAGGTTGCAAGGTTGATCAAGTCAACTGAGTCCTTATAGAGAATCATGTCATTTGTTCTATAGGTCTTCTCCCTTCTCTAATTTGTTTACCAACCTCCTCTGAAGTAAAGAATATATGAAAACAAACATTAATATAAATGGGAGAAAAGGCAAAATTTAATAACCCAGCTATCTCATAATCATTGGATATATATGCTTCTTTTATCATCTGTTACTCGCATCCTAACTTTTGATTATGATTAATGTATTTAAAGAAACTTTTTTTGTTGATTTTTATATTTTCAACAAACATTAATCTTCTATAATCCTTTAAGACTGCCATTTTAGTAGTCAATCAAACTATAAATTTATAATGCTTTTTTTTATTTTGTCCTTTATACCCTTTGTCAGTCAACTTGGTGTTTTACTTGTAGCCACCTTCTCTATCTTGTATATTAAAAAAAATGTCTTTCACATTTGATCAGTTTTCCAATCAATTCTGCTGCCCAATTCACAACAGACAATTCTTTTTACATCCCTGCAAATTTTTTTATGAAATTTGTAACTAACATTTCATTATTCCTGATCACCATGTGTAGTAAAACATCAAATGTAGTAGAGGAATGATCACTTTCACCCATTTGTTTCCCAATCTTTATCCTCTCAACCATTTCTAAATTATAATCTAACGATAGATTTAAAATAGTATTGTTCTTGGTAGATTCTCTTACCAATTGATGGAGAAAACCACCCTGAACAGTTTCTAAAAACCTGTCTTCCTCATGGACTGACTCTAATATTTCATACTATGTATGCCTGAAATTATAACCTCTTAGAATTATAATCTAATTGATAGCTGAATTTGCTATGTCATTGTACAGTTTCTCATTAATTTCATAAGTTTCATCTGGTAGTCTTTAACAAATTCCAAATAAAGGCCTTCTCCCCTTATAACTGTTAACAGAAACTCAAATGGATTTAACCTCCTTGCAATTAGCTTTGATATCCTTGACTTGAATGGGATGTACCTCACATTTTACATATAAAGCAACTCCTTCCTGTTTAATGTAGTAGTATACTTATTCTATAACCTATAATTCTATATTTTTCAATGAAATTTACCTCACCAAAATTGTGTACACTATTTCAGTTATTCCTATTATGTCAAAATTCCCTGTTCTGACTAGTGCTCTAAGTTCATTCATTTTATTTCTTATACTTCTAGCATTAAAATAATAACAGTTTAGCCTACCCTATACTTTTTAGCCACGACATAGTGGTTCATAGAATGGCTCTGAGTTGTTGTTTTTTTTCCTTTTCAAGCACAAACTTTTAGCTTATATCTTGACCGATCTGAGATCTAATTACAGTTTTGGACTCAGGAGGTCAAACTCTTTTGATTGATATATTTGACTGTGCCCAAGATCTCAAACATTAGTTTACTCTAATCCTGCTTAAAAGAATTACAATTTGAGGGTAGGCCAGTAGAGATCCTGATGAGTAATAAAATTGAATCAGGTACATGTGGGCCCCATGCTTGGTATTGCTGATGCACAAAAATATAGCTAAAAAAAGGTCTCGTAGATTTATTTACTCTAATCCTGCCTAAAAGAATTTCAATTTTGTGGCTATTGAGGATTTCCTCTTGTTTCTACATTTTTTTTTTAATTTAGTTTATTATGTCCTTTGCCACTGTCTTTTCCTAGTTTAAAGACTCCTTTACAAATGAGTTAATAGCTATTGCTAACAAGTTGGCCCCTGTATTTAGATATAAACCATCCATTCCAAAAAGCTCTGTTTTTCCCATTGAACTGATCCTTTTAATCCAACAAGCAAATCTAACTATTCTTACATATCAATCTTAAACTAGCATTCACACCTAGCAATGTCTATTGAGGATTCTCTCTCTTGTTTCTACATATTTCTTCTTCATTTAGTTTATTATGGCCTTTGCCACTACCTTTCCCTAGTTTAAAGATGCCTTTACAGTAAAGTTAATAGCCCTTGCTAACAAGCTGTCCCCTCTATTTAAATATAAACCATTGATTCTAAAAAACTCTTGTTTTCCCATTGAACTGATCCTGTTAATCAAACAAGCAAATCTAATTGTCCTTACATATCAATTTTAGCCTAGCATTCAGACCTAGAGATCTCTAATATGAGTTTCACAGCTTGTTTTGGAATAACAGAGATAGGGGACAATAATTTGTCTTGTCAAAGGGTGTTGTAAAATTAATGATCGCGCTTGTGTGGACTTTGATGGAAAAAGATGATTATTTGAAGCTCTGGAAACAACTGTGTTGATGAACTGTGTAACAAACATTTGTATGTATATTTAACTTGTTTTGAATATATATTATTTTACAACAAGTGTGCTGTTTGTTTATTGCTGGAATTTATTGCCAACAAGTCACAGACACCTACTGTAAAGAATCCTGCCCATACATCCACATATACCTATAAAATCTGACAACTTTCTGAAAGTAATTTTAGCTACTGTTTTCCATGCCTCATAAAAACTTAAGTTCCTTTTGAAATCCTGCTGCCAATTCCCACAGCTTATACTTCTCTATTTCATTCACTTCTAATTGGTTTAGGATAGCCTCAAATTTTTCCTCTAACCTGTAAGCTCTACAAGCAATTGCACATTTTCATTGCTAGCTTCTTTAAAAATGCATGCCAATTTTGAGTTTCTTAATAAAATCCACTCCTAACAACCTACAAACAATAGCTTTAGTATTAGTGTGCCATTTTCCCTTAATTCAACATTTGTGATCATTTACTTTTTATGTTGCTTCAACACATTCAATAGCCTGAAGGATCATTGAACTTGAAAAAATCAATGTGGTAGTTTCTGTGAGGTATGTAACACTAGTGATAGGTAACTAACAGTCTACTGTAAATGTGGATACAGAAGCTTTTATTTTATCTAGCAACGTTTCTGAAAATGTTTTTCTTTTGCCTGACATCTTAGAAATACTAGCAAAGTCAACAAGTCATTTGAGATTTACTGTCAAATTTGAACCAACCATAACATTATGGTAGTTGGTTAATTGTTTAATATTTGAAATGCATCGTAATCTTAATCATTGTGGTCTCAAAGTAAGTAATCAACACGAAATACAAGTAACACATTAACAACAATGTTAAGTCTAGTGTGTAAGAATTAAATATATTACGGTATTTTATCACTACTTTATATTCACACTGAAGGAATTAAGATTATCTTTAAAATATAGAAGTGATAAATAATTAGTTTTAAGGTGATTTTTGTAATATTACAATGTATTTAGCCTGTTTTATAACTTAAGAATAAACTGAATTCAAAGACACATTCACTAAGTCTAATCTAAAGTTAGTAATATTTACAACACCACGTCCTAACTTAGAATACTAATCTTAATAAAATTTATCAATCATATTAAGTCAGCTTGTAGTTATACACAAAATTACTGCAAATAAGAATATTAATCATATCCTTAAACAAGTTTAATTTACATATTCCAAAAACATCAAGAGACTTCACTCTTCCACAGCATGATCTAAATACTAAGAATTTGCCAACTTTTATTAAAATGCCCCCAGTAAATTCAGAATTTTGGACAACATTAGTATTAGTACATATAGCATCACAGGTACAGGGTTGGTAAATTTGACTGAACCCATTGACAGGTGGTTAACTGGGCAAAGACTAGACAATAGAAAGAGCACCATGTCAGAGTAAGTTACATTGGGCATGCTACAACTACTTTTTTAACAATATATTGAATGTGACTGTTGCAACCATCATTTAATGATAGTTGTATATAAGAATAAAAATTCATACAATTCTTACAAACATAAATATTTTCCACTTCTATTGAGTCTGACATTATTGTTACATATAAATTTTAGTACTTTTACAATACAAATTATATAGCAACTGTTTACTCAGTGAAAGTACACTGATTCAGAACATATGCATCTTTCTTTTGCATTTTGTTTATCAAGAAGTATGAAGTGTCAACTAATTTAATCTATCATTCAATTAGAAAGTACAGTCTTATTTTTTATGGATATTACATTTCAGTTTTCAGGTTTTCAGAAAACTGTTACTATGATTACTCTTTGATAATGTTACCCATCTTTTGAAGATGCATCCAGCAAGAAGGTATTAAGTATTAAAAATAATTGTGGATGAGGACAATTTGATCAAAACATACAGTGGCATTGTACTAGCAGAAGTTACTACTCTCTAAAGGCTGTTAAAAGTTTAAGGAATTATATTTATTGATGAATAGTTGAAAAGTAAGAAAAGAGGTATGTAATACATGAAACTTGGGTAAAAGTTCATTTTGTAATCTACTTGATAACTAAAAAAATATATATATATATATATATATATATATATATATATATATAGTAGTATACACCTAACTAATAAAAGTAGGTAGGAATAACGTACCTACCCAACCCCACTACCTAATAATACCTAACCCTACCTACGA